ACCTCAAGATATGCATCAGGCACTGCTTGTCTAATCGGGAGATGATAGTCCGTATGTGAGTACGTGGTTATCAAGTCTCTTCTTAAAGCTTTCCACCTAGTGGGGTGTTGTCACCTCAGCTGGGAGACCATTCCAAGTTGCGACGACTCACAATGAGAAAAAGTGTGCACGAATCTGAGTATCCGCTCTTTGATGTTCAATCTTTCTAGGATTGCCTCGAGGAGAGTGGTGGTGATGCATCGGTAAGATGTTCACATTGAGATGGCTTGGCGTGCCTAATGTGGTGTACGCCATAATCAGATCACCTCTGATTCTCCTGTGGCTCGGGTGGAAATAATCCCAAGTGCTGTAGTCTGTCTTCATAAGGTTTATTTTTCAACCCTATCACCCATTTGGTAACTCGTCTCTGCACGCGATCCAAAAGATTTATGTCTTTTTTAGGCAGACGGGATGCAATGACTTTATGAACCTCCAGGTATGGGCGCGCGTATGTCTTAAATAATGGTAAGAATAATTGTGGGTTGATAGCACCAACTTGTCATCGCATAAAGCGAAGAGTCGCATTTGCCTTGGTTGCATCCCCTGCTTTCTGTGGTTCCTGAACCGAGATCACGCTCTGAGAAGACACCAGGGGGCGGACTTCCATTGAGGGTGTAACTCGTTTGCATCATGTTGGGCAGGATGTACATGATGTGACTCTTTGGCTAGTATAGTTTTGAACAGTTTTTTCTGCCCATCCCTCAATAGATGTAAGGTCGAATAATTTTTGCTTCTAATGGACCTCCAGATCTCTGTGTAGATCAGTGTCAGTGAGATAAGTGAGCCTAAGAGATCCTAAATAAATGTCAGGAAGAGAAGTGGACCTAAGATGGTCTCTTGTGAAACTACCGATGTGGATACCTTGGTACGAAACTTTCTGTTCTGAAGGCAGTTTCTGAGCCAAGATACGAGTGAGTCCGTGAAGCCCATTTCCGCTACCTTTGCGATTAGGCGTGCGTGGAAAACTGTGTTGAAGACTTTTGTAAAGTCGAGGAATTTACGTGCACCGGTAATTTTCGTGCCAAGCAAGATGTCCATCTGTCCCATGCTATGAGAAGATTTGATGAGCACGACCTGCATTTCTGAAACCCATGTTGGGCTTCATAGAGTATTTTATTCTTATCCACGGAATCCTTCATTTGTTAGGTCACCAGCCCTTGCACTACCTTTGATATTATTATTAGTAATGCGACTGGTCTGTAACAGGCTGTCCTTTCTACTTACTATTTTGAAGATTGAAGAAACAGTGGCTTGCTTTCATTCATCTGAGTGTTGGTGTGAATCCAGTGAATGCCTGAACAGGTCACATGTCGGTGAACAGAGGACTTCTGCACATTGTTCCAAGACTATGGGGCGAATATTGTCACAACCTGGTGACTTTCCTGAGTATAAAGATTTTAGTTTCCTAAGTACTAAGTCAGAAGTGATACGGATATTCCCGAAGCCGTCAGCTGCCACTGGGTTTGCGTAGTATTTTGAACATGTAGATGCCTGGTTTAACTTCTCGATAAGGTTTGTGTTGAAGATCTCAGCTATCTCTAGGCTGGTGAGGTCTTCCTGATTCGGACCTTTGAGAGGACACAAACCCTGATTTGTAGGTTTTCTTTTAGTCATGAACCTAAACAGATGCTTTGGGTTTGTCTGTATTTTGCCAGCTAGCTTCATCTGAAAGCGTCTCTAATCACTTCAAACTTCGATATTTCATCTGTTTCTCAATGGCAGGTGAGAACTACTATCAGAATGCTTCAAGGAGATCTTCCACTTGTGCCAAGCTCTCCTCTTCGCTGTTTGCCTGTGATCATTTACTGTCAGTCTTAAAGAATCCCGTGGCCATGGGGCATGTAAGAGGACCTCTCTCATACGCTTATAAGTTGCCCTAGTGTAGCAAAGATAGGGCTCGCTTTTGTCCTGTGTGAGTGTTTGGTTTCTGACCATGTTGAAGAGAACTGTGTCACTACTACTACCTACTACTACAACTACTATCTCCTATTGCAGTATGGACTTGAAAATCCTCGACCAGGAGCTGGCCATTTGTTAAAAAATAGTCCAGGTTTGAGGATTTTTCTTCCTTAGTCCATCTAGTGGCACTGTATACGTGCTCAGTCAGCCCAGAGCTTCTAATTGCTGCGTTAATTCGTCTTTTGAACCAACCAGTGAGAGAATTCTATCCGGATTGCTGAAATTTGGATATGCGGTATCGAAATCTCCAGCTAACAGTATTGGATCAAACTCCAGGAGTGGCAGTTGCAGTTTTGCCTCAGTTAGTTTGTCTTTCTGGGCCTTAGTACCTAAAAGAGGTCGGTAAATCCCTCCAATCAAATACTTCTTGCCTTTTGTGAATAAACAACACCAACACGACTCTGCGTCCTCAGTTAGTTTGGTGTCGTATAGTCGCTCGGCTTTTAAGTGGCTGGTTTTGTATAAAGCCATTTCACCTTCGGTTTGGTGTACCTTATCGCTTCGGAAGAGTGTCATGCTATGCATGCTGACTTCTTCGTCTGTAATGTAAGGGAGTAGCTATATGTTAGATAGGTTTATGACCTTCGGATCAATCTGAGAGCATATATTCCTAATTTATAACAGCTTATCCCTAATTCCTTTCATGTTGCTATATTGGCACTTGGTGGTTTGTCTCATCACCTGGTGCACTTTTGCAGCAACAGCCGTCGTCAAATTTTCAAACAAGTTGTTGAAACCGAGCTTTTTGCCTTTGCAGTGCGTCCAAACAGCGATACTATTATCTTCGTGTCTTTTTCAAAAGGTTGTTGATCGAGGTCAACTGTCAATTTCATTCGTTTATTTTGGCCGCCTTGCTGTCGTCTCACAGATCAAGGTAGGCTTCTGCAACTCCTAATGTGGCTAGAGAGCTTGTCCTTCGACTCATACCAAGCCTGAAGAGCCTCAGTTCGGTTTTCCCGTTTCCTAAATTTCACAGCCATCAGATGTGGTGGCTAAATAAACGTGGGTTGTGATGGGTGAGGCAGCCTAGAAATAGAAATCGCCATCGTGATGTAAAGTCCCAGGCTACGTGCTAGCCATCGCCACTGTTGCACATCGTGCACGTGAACTTCTTCCAAGCTACTACCATCCAGTTCGGGCACTACGTGTACTACCATACTGGTCTACTCATAGCTGCCTAGTGATATCCTGGCTGCTGCTCTTACTGACCATGGTTTGTCGTTTCCCTTCCAAAACCTGCTGGCCTTTGAAAAGGTCACATCCATCCACTATTCCATATTTTTAATAGATACGGGGGGTTAACAACAACTGGCAGTTTTGTCGTTGTGTTAGATTTGGTTTTGGCTGTTTTGGTCGCCTGTTTCACACGCTAAGTGCGATTTAAGTTTCTCTATTGGGACTTTTGAGCTGACTTTAAGTGGCGTCTGTGGCTTCGCCAATGCCTTCATTACTCTACATTGTGGACAGATATACCTGAGTCACGGATAGAGGTTACTGAACATGAACCCATTGTACTCTCTAGACACTGTTGTATCGCAGTCGCAGTGCACCCATATGCATCTCCTTCTCGTTCATTTTTACAAGTATTATTTTATGCTTATTTGAACTTTTATCTAATTATCCTCGACATGGGTATATGTGTGACTATTTAGTAGTGCACATCCAAGACCTGAATACCCCGAACCTTCAGTGTCACTCATGATTACTCAGCCTCTCAACCATTAGTCTGGCATTCAACGGTGTTAATGTTTAACTTTGTGCTCAGTAATGGCTAGTTTAGTGAGGAATTTTACGGAGTTCTGTTAAGAAGCCGGGTTAAAGGGTCTAGGACGCATTTTTCATCTTACTTTTGACACATTAACTAAATATATGTGGGCCTCAGAGTTGATAAACACTCCAGGACTTTATACCAGTCCTAAATATCAATTAGATAGACTCAAATAAATATGTTATATCAGTCGAAATTCATCTCATTGCACAAGCCAGTGACTAGTTGTACTCAGTAGCTAAGCAGATACAGTCAGTTAGTCAGTTACAACATAGAACTTCGTACATGAGTATGTGAGTTCAAACTACCATACCGCATCAGTACTGAGACGCAAATATCAGTTCAGATCCCGTAGCGGTAGCGATAGTAGAAGTATTAGTAGTAATGGAGAAGATTAGGGATCGAAGCTATTGTTCAAGAAGTGTAGTTCAGTGAGATAAATTTAGAAAGAGAAAGATAGAGGTGATGAGGAATTCAGAAGGCTAGAATTTGAGAGAACATAAAGAGTGGATGTACTTGCGCCACTGCAAACGATTCTGAGCAATGTCGTTCAACGTCTCTAACCATCGGTAGATACTGTAATATTGCTTCCGGCATATATTACTGCACTCGATTCTCACACCGATTATGACCTCGGATATACAGGTACATTCAGCTGATACGCCCAAAATAGTAATTAAAGAACGTCCAAGATCCCAGTTCTAGTCCCTATCTGCCTTTTACTCGAAAAAACTTTCAGTTTGTAAAAGACTGGAAACTGCATGTCAGGGGCCTACACTCAACTGAAAGTAACAGGAGTAAGTAAGTAAGTAAGTGATATGCTCGTCAGCTGATATGCTTAAATGCTATTACGAGTTTACCTTACTTGATAAACAGAACGAAAGTCAACAACACACTGACGCAATAAGCTATTCTAATCGATTGTCTCACACCCTGCTAAAAAAACAGGAGTCTTGTATTCTACAAGTACCCAGAAAATACGAGATCGTTACGCACACAAGTCATGCTTATGTATACAGTGATAGCAACTTCGTCAGGAGACCCACAAAATAGCCAAATGACATAATCTGTCAACCAATGACAGCCGAGAATTTTCCCAGTAGAAAATGTAAGCTCAAGGTCAGACAGGCGACTTATGCACCAAAACATAAAAAAACACCCAAAGTTAGAACCCAATTCCAAGTGATTTTCAGGAGATCTAACATCCCAAACAGTAAAATAAAGTGAACAATGACATTTTAGTCGGTACTCAGTTTTTTTTTCAAAAACACCAGACAAATTACATTTCATTTTCCTGTACTATAGAACAAACTGTCTATTTCATTATCACACGTGTTACATACACATTACCAGATCGAAATATATTTTATCTTAAAACACAAAACAAAGACATTCTTACAAAATAAATATATAAATTTTCATTTTTTAAACAGAAAACTATTACACCATTTCTCATTCTTGCCTGCAAGATAAATCACATGCAAAGTATGCATGCATACAATCATGGTGTGTGTGTGTGTGTGTTAAATTTTCAATACATCAAACAATGAAACATTGAACATTGAATTGAATACAGTGCAAAAGAACTTTACAAAAACAAAAAAATAGAAGATGAAACACAAAAGTGTACACAGTTGATATTCTTTTTCCTGAAGTAATGTGTATGTTCAATGTTGTTTGATTCGTTGATGGGATTGATCATGTAAATATTGAACATATTTTTGTCCAACCAACATTGATCCAGTGGTAATACACCAAGCGGATGCATAATTTAAAAATCTTACTAGTATATTAAATCGAAGAAATAGAGGATACGGCGATGTGTTCCATACAAGTATGCCAATCTCGACACTAATAATTTGGAATTGTTTTTTTGTAGAAAAAAAATATGAAAAAAGTTTATTGTTATTTTGAGGATAGATGAAAGTTAATCGATCAAGTGTCTACCTGGAAGAACTAGATAGTCATTTCATTTCCAAATAGGGAAATCCTTACCACTGTACATATAATGTACATATAAATGTTGCCGGTTAGACTTAACAACATTTGTGTAAGATGCAAACTGACGTTCAGACTGAGGAATAACTGTCTAGGTAGTTAAGATACACTCTATTGCCCGTCTGAAATCAAAACAAGTGATTTTGGTAAACGATGGTTCTAATACTTATCATAAATATAAATATATACATCATTACCTAAACAAATATTACCACTCAGTTATTCCACTAACAATTGTTCAATTAATCAAATCCACAACAGCAACAATTAAATGTTATTCTATCCCACCTGGATAGATTAGATTCGTTCAAAAGATAATATTTGGTAGCTTTATAACATAGAGTGCTTCCTATTCTGGAAGGGTGCTTCAATTCACAGTCAAAATGCACAATTCCAGTCAAGGCAAGCGACACAATCAAAAGACGAACAAATTAATATGGCTGTCGCCATGACTAAGTATCAGCCTAAACAACATAAATGCAGTTCAGAAAGAAACATAGAAACTCAGTAAAGGCACAAAAAATAGAAACTCTAATAAAATACAAATATTATCTTCTCAAAATGAAATCGAACAGACTAATAAAATGTGCAACTGAAGGAATCAATAAGGACATATTACTAATGTGTATATACGGAGGGATTTTCACAAACGAAGCCTCCAAAAAATGGATCTTGCAATCAGTCACGTATGAGAACTCTTAAACTCTTGATCACACATCCATTCGTGGTCCATATCAATCGACGACGTTGCACAACCAGTCTCGACTGTGTTCGGTTAGTTCATGGCTCATATTCGACACTGTGGAATGCCGCTAGTCATGTTTCATCATTAGAATTCCGAGCAATTTCTCACGAAACTAGTTGTTAGTGAGTGCATAATAATTTTCCATATACAGCAGTAAAAACTGTTCAAATGTTCCATGCTGATTAAAATTTATAGTCCAAAATAATTAATGATACAATTTTAAAATATATGATCATTACTTGCTTACATATTTACTCTCAGAGGTGCATAGACCACCACCGACCAGCATCATCTAACCTACTCTGTCCAGGGCCATCTTTTCCAATCTTATCTGACTGGTGTTCATTCTCCTCACGTCTTTCTCCAGTACTCAACGTATTGTGTTCTTTTGTCTGCTTCATTTCCTTCAACCTTGAGGATACCAAGTGAGGGCTTGTCCCCCGAGGCAGTAATCGGCATAATGTGTTCTTTGGCCTTATTATTTCCCCTTGACCTTGAGAATGTCAAGTGAGGGTTTGTTGTCTGTGCTTACCTATATGTGAGCACTATTCACATCCAGCTCTCTTTCCTGCTTTCTTCGTCTGCTGGAACGGCGGTCCAGTTCTGTTATATTTTCAATGGCGGCCTAACTATGATTGCTTCGCGATTTCAACGTGTAATGACATTATCAATCTGTACGAAGAACATTAACTATACATGGTTTTGCTGGACATTTCGACACTTAATTGAGTAAAAATCTATTCTGTTTTCTCTTGGCTTTTGTAACTACTACCTGAGTGTGCAGTCCCGGTCATCCTAGTATCAAAGTTTACATTACGTATTAACCGTATCAAGTTGAATACTTGATGCAAATTATGACATATCCTAATTTGAACTTTGGACATTGAAAATATTTTATGTGGTTATGGATGTTACTTCTTCAATAATGCTTCAAAATTCAATTTTCATCGCTTATACAACCTGTTCAATGACCAATGAATTTTTAACAGTTTTCACTGCTGTATACTGACAATTATTATATACTTACTAACAACTAGTTTTGTGAGAAAATTCTTGGAGTTCTAGTGATGAAACATGACTAGTGGCATTCAGCAGTGTCTAATATGTGTCATTAACTTACCGAACACTACCGATAATGCTTGTGCAAGATTGTGGATCGATTTAAGTTAAAGATTACCACGATTGGATGTTAAGTGAGTGGTCAAGAGGTTAAGCGTTCTCATACGAGACCAATGGTTTCCAGTCTGACTGGCAACATTTGTGTTTCAAAATGAGAGACGGAACAAACCAGATTCCAGCAGACTAAAAAAGCAAGAAAGAGACCTGGATAAGGATGGTACACACATATAGGTAAGCACAGACAACAAGCTTTCACTTTACATCTTCAAGGTTAAAGCGAAAGAAGAAGGCCAACAAACGCATTATGCCGATTACTGGAGACAGACAATCGGTGAATGAACACCAATAGGATAGGGTTGGAAAAGCAGGCCCTGAACAGAGTAGGTTCTATAATGCTGGTCGGTGGCCTATGCATTACTGAGGGTAAATATGTCAGCAAGTGATGATCATTTATTTTAACACTGTATCATTAGTTATTTTGGACTATGAATGTTAATCAACATGGAACATTTGAACAGTGTTCACTGCTGTATATTGACAATTATTATGCACTCACTAACAACTAGTTTCTTGAGAAAATTCTCGGAATTCCATTGATAAAACGTGTCTAGCGGCATTCAACAGTGTGGACTATGGGTCATTAACCAACCGAACACAATGGATAAAGATTGTGCAAGATCGTCGATTGGTTTAAATTCAAGATTAAGACTACTGAATGTTGACTCAGTGATGAAGAATTTAAGTGTGCGTATGCGAGATCGATGATGTTGAGTCTGATCTGCAACATTTGGATTTCCGTACGAGGATGAAACGGCCATCGAATGCTTTCAGGTAGATATTAGTGTTCTAACTCTTGATCAACTTATTATTTTAACAAAACTCAATAATCTTCACAAGGGTAACCTTACAGTTAATTGTTCGTAATTCAACTTCACTATAATCTTTTTCGTTTGATTTTAGTTTTAGAATACATTAAAAGTTTTTAAATAAAATTATAGAGAATAACAGTATTTGATTACATTTGTATAATTAATGTGATTCTTCCGGTTTCCAACAATGTTCAATCATTACGTGCACCAAAATTAATGGTTGTTTCAGTTGTGTAAACGTGTATCGGCCTTATGAATTACAGAGAAACTTGGCTTTCATTCTGATGCTTCATGTCTCTTCTAATGAAGGCCTTCTTACTCTTAGGGTAGAGTTCAAAAGGTTCAAATTCATTTTTTCACGTTAGCGTTTTTTAGCTAGTTAGTCTGTCTTCCTTGAGATGAAGTCACTAACCAAGATGCTCAACCTTGTTTCTTTATCCACATTTGTAATTGGCAGTAAACACAGAGATTTTACAGGTGGAGTAGATGAGATACACATTAGAGACATCACCCAATTGTGTCACAATGCATGGAATACTCAAGTCAAAAAGAAAGTCGGAAGACCAAAGAACACAACAGGCCGAGAATTGGAAGCAGACTTTAAAAAAATGAAGAGCAATTTGATAGAACAAGGAAAAGAAGACCCAGATCCATGTAAGTTGGAAAATGCCGGTGAGGTTCTGCAGAACCTTAGATTAATCAAAGTTTGACAATAACACCGCTGGATGCCGGCTCATTTGTTCAGAGGTTAGGCGTTCACGCACAAGACTGAAGGTCCTGCAGTTGAATCATATAAGTGACAGAAGTTGTGGATTTGCACTACCAGTGATGAGCCCTATAACAGGACGAAACGACCGTCATCCAGTGCTTCCAAGTTTCTAATGGCGATCTAACAATGATTCATACATAATTACACAAAAAATTTAATCATTTAGTTCTGTTTTATCATTCTGTCTTTATGTCTGATTAGTACATGTCAAGTTAATTTAATCAAATGTTTGTTTTAGAAATCAAATAATCACGACCTCATTAAAAATTCATTTTATTTGAATTCAATTTCAATTTATTTCATATGATGTAATATGAGATTGTTTTATTATATTAAACTTCCTTTTTTCCTTTTTTCTCATCAATATGGCGTTATTCTTATTAAATGTGCTATTTTTTTGACAGTTCATCAATATACTACTTATTTCAATTTGTTTCTCTCTTTTTGAAATATGAGTATTATTATTCTTAAAAAGGTAAAAGATTAAAGCAAAAATGAACTCTTTGAATAATAATCTTTTTTTCATTTATTGTTAATTGTATTCCGTTTTAATTCTGTTTTCCTTGTGTTGTCTTTTTTTCTGATCTAGTTATTCATTTTCAATTAAATATGGCTCAAAAGTCATTACATGTGAGGATTGAATGATGTTGAAAGGTTGAGCAGGAGTTTCATGGTCAATCATGTGTTAACATACACTGACTGTAATCATACACTCTGTGAGATAGTTAGTGCGGTCTTTGTTGACATCATCAAAATAACTATGTGAGCATTATACTATGGTAAAGAGTTTTTAAATGATGAGATGAAAAGCTGTTGTTCAATGTTCACTGGTATTCAATAGATTTTTTAGTTGATGAAATGGCATATCCTTCAAACTCCAATGTACAGTAGTTTGATGTGTGGTGCGCGCTACTTATAAGTAGTATATGACGTGAGTGAAAACGTAATGTCTGGCAGCAGAAGATGGGGGAAGATCAAGAAAGGAAGAGTGGGAACACAATGGAAATTGTATGAAACGCATGAATAGTGAAATGTCAGACAATGGATTGAAGATTTGCAAATTAACGGTTACGATATGGTTTTCCTATTTTACTGAGTAACTCTGTAATTTTTGTTAAATACCATTCGGTTGCCCTCACCTGTGTTCTCCTTCACCACAGATGGACTTTATTTTCAACCTCATTTAATATTGGAATCATGAAAGAATCATTAAGAGACCAACATTAGAAACCTGGAAACACTGGATGAGAGCCGTTTCGTCCTGGTATTGGACTGACTCAGCAGTGTGCATCCATAGGATTCGATCCCTGGACCTTCAGTCTTAACCTGTGAACCACTGAGTTGGCATTCAAAGGTGTTTATCTTTAAATGCGATCAATCGAAAGATTTTGACAATCAAAGTATTCGCTTTCCATTCTAAGCATAGAAATTCTACAGTAGTTTTCATTACTGTATATTTTCGTTGATATCTCCAGATTATCTTGTATTTAGTTAACAGAAAGAAATCGCCAACAGTTATTCTTGAAAAGCACATATGGTGATTCAATATAATGAAAACATTGAAGTCTAACATTGTAAAAAAATAAGCGTCTGTATGGACGACACCTGAAATCGCTTTGGATTAACTACCGGTCGTAAGCCCAAATAATGGAGGAGGTTTGGGCATAGGGTCAACGATCTCACCTAGTAGAAAGTTAATTCACTAAATAAGCGCTTATCTTAAACTGGTCAGTGGCCTATACTCCACTAAGGGTAACAGGCATAAATAAGTAAGTAAGTGGCTAAATTTTTCTGGATTCAGTTCAAGCTATCAATTAAAATATCACAAACAGTGGAACGATCATCTATAAAGAATACTGGACTAGCCCCTTTTATGGAATAGGCGAGATATCCTTCTACACAACCGAAGAAAAGGTTTGTACTGCACAGCAGTTCATTCCATCCTATTATATGGCTGTGAAACATAGTCAGTAAGAACAGAGGATATTTTTGTAGTTTACTAGTATTCTCCCATAGGTGTCTTTGAAGCATTGCTTGTATATCATGTAACTACTGAGTAAGTGATGCTAGGTACTAGGTAAGGATGGAAGATCAACTGATGAAGTATTAACTGTTCATCATTTGAGATTGTAGAGATATGTGTTTCGAATACCCGTCCACCGACTGCCTCGACAACCTTTGTTTTATGGTGTAGGGGTAGACTGCAAGAAAGCTAGGGGACGGCCAGACCAAAAACATGGCATAATTCCGTGAAGTCGTTGACATTTGAACTGATCCATGTTGATAGGTGTAAACTACCTGCTTGGTGTCCGCGAGATGGTTAAATACCTTGAACGACATGACTCAAAGTCGTTTTCAATGACGCAGGTGCATCCACTCTTTGTGTTCTCCCAAATTCCAGTCTGAATTCCTCATATCCTTCATCTTTCTCATCTCAAAATTATTTCACTGCATTATACCCGTTAAATAATATCTTCAAAATCTAATCTTTCCGATTACTGTTCATACTTCTACTACTTCTACCAATATGGAATTTGAATTGTGCGCTAGTGTGACAACTTGAACTGATTTACGTACGTATGTTCTACATTGTTATTGACTGACTAAGAACTATCATTCAAACATTCAAATCAATTAAATAATCGGAATAAATCAACAATGAGTAAAACAAAAAACACAATGAACAATTGAACTTACAATAAATTGTAAATAATTCCAATGAAACATTCAATTTTCAATGCGCTACTCAGTGAAACAATTTTCGGATGACATAAATAAGCATCAATTATCAATAAGATGGCGGGCAATAGATGCTTTGAATTGATAATGTAAAAAAAATAAAAAAATTTGAAAATAAGTAGTATGTTTCTTTTTTTTCTTGAGAAAATAACTTAATTATTTATTGAATAGGTGTGTTTCACATGTTTTGGAGGTTAGCGTTTTCAGACATTTGAAATCATCAATCAACCATTGCTCGACCACCTTCATTAGAAACATGCAAGCACTGTACAGCCGTTTCGTCCTGGTATGGGACTCATCAGCAGTGCGCATCCACGACTCCTGCACCTCGCAGGATTCGAACCCGGGACCTTCGGCATTGTAGGCGAACGCCTAACCATCGGACCACAGGGCCGGCACCCAACGGTGTTAATGTCTAACTCTGATTGATCTAGGGATTTTGCGCGACCTCACCCATTTGTCTTTGGTAGCTACTGCCTAAACTCGACAGGGTTGAACTCCATCGGTCACGTCTTCTCAACTAGAACTCCGAGAATTTCCTCACGAAGCTAGTCACTAGTGAGCACTGTTACGATATTTTGGGGCAGAGTTTTCGGAGGTTTGTGTTTTTACACATTTGAAATCATCAATAAATCATTGTTCGACCACCTTCATTAGAAACCTGGAAGCACTGCTGATGAGTCCCATACCAGGAAGAAACGGCCGTCCAGTGCTTCCAGGTTTCTAATGGTGGTCTAACAATGATTCATTGATGTTTCACATGTGTCTTTTAGTAATCAGTGAATTCAAATACTCACACTGAAATGTGGTCATCAATCAATCATATAGGAGGTTAGTTATCACAATTGTGATCGTGATTTCGATCTCAGGATCCATAAGCGTCGAACAATATCCTGAATGGAAAAGCTCTACACTGGTCACTTACTAACTGATGAAATGTTGTACAGCAATCAGTTATACAAGACGTTAGTTATAACAACTCTGACAGTAATTCTAAGTGAAGTGTCTTGTTATGACTGTGTTCAAGATTCACGTACTTAGGAAAACTTCAAACGAGCTTAACTTAACTTAAAGTAAGCCAATAATTATATCACACCAACAAGAATTTATAATCTCATTAAAATTTAAGAACTGATCAACAATAAACCTCTAGCAAGTACCTAAAAGAGCTGAAGGACCACTTCATTATCATGGGACTTCTTAACATTGGTCGACTATTTTTAATGTGAGCGCTTAATCACTTAACCACCGAGTATGCTGTCTCTAATGGTGTTAATGTCTAACTTCAGTCGATCCAAGTTATTGCAAAAGTTTTCATAAAACGTACATATTAAAATCTTTGAATATTTGACAACTATCAACTGTGTGAACACATCATTGTCATTTCACTTCAACAGGTTAAATAGAAAACATGAATTCTGTTGTACATAAAGGATTCAAACGAAATCTGATTTAATATGGGATAACCGAAATCTAAAGTAGATACTTGTCAGTCCCCTAATACTGACTAACTAACTAAGAAGGAAAGAGCCTTTTCCGCTATCGAATAACATGTATGTATGCAATCATATATTTCTGTCCCTAAGAATTTGAATCAATCACTCAACCAATGATATGCATTTGTCCTTGAGCACATTTATGAAGGTCACCAAATGGACGCCTCATTTACTTACTTCTGATTGAATGACATCATCTATTCTCCCATTAGAAATTCCATCATTCTGCAACACACACACGCACACACTAATCAATCAAATGAATAGAAAACGCACTCAATCAACATTAGAAATTGTCAGGATATTCATCCAATATCATAAGAGAATTATTGGTCAATTCCTATTGGTCAATGTTATGGTCGTCCTAGATATCAATGTCACCTGCTCCACTGTTGTTTCTTATTGGTTATGCTGACTATCAATGTCACTGCAAATGTTGTTTCCTAATGGTCAATGTTACATACTTCGATGCTGTTTCCTATTCGACCACAATGTATAAATACGCATTATCTGTAACGTTTTATGACCAAGACCAGGACCAGGGCTCGGTCCCGGATCCCTAGCCTGGGATCCTGATTCTCTTCTGGATCCGGACCTCGTACATTCTGGATGCTTGTAGAATACATGTTCTACTACATATCACGTCTTATTCTTATTTTTACTAAATATGAGGGTTGGGATAATCGGATTCGTAGTAGCATGTCGTGTTGCCGGATCGTGGATCCTCGCTCTCGTTTTCCGACTAAGGGGTAAACTCTTCATAGTTCAAGTATATCAAAATTTTGATGTGTTTACGTGCAGGCGTAACAGAAACAAATATACTGTACAAGGAAAAATGGAATAAGTTACTTACACTCATATGATTAAACCAAAATGGCATATTCTTCAAATCTTCCATTTCAGTAATATAAGTTGGATCATAGAAAACTACACCCCAATAGCATAGCATAGCTGTCTACAAACAAACGAATATGATGTACAACAGACAGTCTTACCCCAGTGAATCCAAATGTAACCAAGTATTGACAAGCACCGATTGTTTTATCCGTGAAATAATCTAATGGTATAGCCATTATAAAATATAACACATTCATAAACTAATCGAAAATAGAGATTAGGAAAAAAGGGTTACCGCTGCAATACAAGTGAAATATTTGAATGTATACAACGCTCGCATTGGATCAATGTAGAGATCATTTGCAAAGAAATAGAAATAGGCTGCATTCAATGAAATAGTGTAGATAAAGATGACCAATAGACGATACAGAAGGACCAATCGATTTATTGATTTTCTGTTAGTCATTGTATGAACCATTTCTTTTTTGTCAAAATTAATCTAAAGAGAAATATATAAGACTAGTTAGTATGAGAAAATGTTATAGTTAGCAATGAACTAGAACTTACACTATAGTGTTTCGGTTTGGTCAACCAACAATCAAAACTGTTAGTGTTTTTACATCAGCAGTGAAAATCAATTCTTTATGTGGTTAACGTAAACCTATTATTCAGTATGCTGTTTCGGCTTAAACTAAGGAGTATCAAATTCCACGGAACGTCAGTCCAGGGCTCCATTCAATAGGGACACGAACTGTTGCATTGAATCATAATGATCAGTACAAGCAATCCGAAAGATGTCAGTGTAGTCATTAGAACTACTGGTTCACAAGATTTTTGTCACATGGTTCACGGTCAGTTACATTAGTGTACATGTGTTATGTCTTCTCAAACTACTATGTTCTCGAGTAATCTTTCATATTACTAATACTACTGCTTCGATTTTGTTAGTAGTGTAAATCTTCCAACTGATGTTTTGGACTGCAGTTGATCAGTCTCGTTTGGTATATGTGCATCCCGTGAGCATTACTTCGATATAGCTACAGTTTTCGGCTCTGATCAACTATATATTACCAAAAGTTAGCAATGTCAGTGTTTGCATCAACAGTTAAAATCAATTCTTTCTGTGTTTAACGCAAACCTTTTATTCAGTATGCTGTGGTGCTGTACTGAAGAGTATCCATTCCGAAGGAACATCAGTCTGAGACATTACATTCCAATTAGTAAATATATGAACTCGTACTATGATGGATAAATCGAGGCATTCAGAAAAGGGACCTCCTGCACCTCGTAGGATTCGAACCCAGGACCTTCGGTCATGTGTGCGAAATCCTAACCTCCGGACTACTGGGCCAGCGCATCACCCAACAGTTTTAATGTCTAACTCTGATTGATCAAGGGACTGTGAGTGACATAATTGCCAAAATTCATGAGTACATTTCCAATAGTTCACCTGCTTTGTGTTAAATTTTTATTTTCAAAACGTAACTAGTATAAAATTTTTATTTGAATTCATGGGTTTCAATGTTCAAATTATATAATTACCGGAAGATTGAACATTGTACACCTATTGTGTATTTATATTTAGTTTTATGTTAAATGTTTCTGTTCATTGATACTTGAAAGGTGTCTGTCTAGTCAATATAACTACTGGTTCACATAGTCCATCGTCACTTACATCGGAGCACAGGAATTACTTCTTCGCAAACTACAATGTTCATGCACAATCTTTACTATTAGTAATACTACTGCTTTAATTTTGTTAGTAGTGTAAATCTTCTTACTAATGTTTCTGACTGCCATTGATCAGTCTCATTTAGCATATGTGCATCACGTCAGCATTACTTCGATATAGCTATTGGATCACAAGCATTATAGACAAAAACACTGATAGTGGTTAACCGCGTAATCAAGGATGGGCTACCCATCTCTTTGGGAACTTATCAGTTGAATGTACCAGAACCGCTAAATAGATGTTCACTTTAGGGTACGACTCCCCATGAGGAATAAATGCACATTTCTGATTCTATAGTTAGCCACTATCCATCTGTGTTTAAAATTCAACAGGTTCTGTTATTACTGCTACTAGTCTTGGACTTGTTTCCAATGTTTCATCGAACAGTTCCGTTTCGGCATGGACATTCACTATCTTTGGCTACTCCAATTCGAACGTCCCGGGTCCCGCTAACTAGTTCAAGAAGTTTTGGCAAGACGTATACAGAATGTATTCCACAGACTACCAGAAAGTACCAGGTCGTCAAGCACACTACTCAAGCTTGTTTATACAATTAATAAAACGTCCATGGTGAAAGCCAGAAAATAGCATACAAAAATAATCCATCAACCAATGACAGTCAAAGATTTTCTAGGTACGAAATTTAAGCTGAAGGTCAAAATAAGCATGTTTGGCTCGAAAACGATTAAATTCAAAATTAAGACCTTTCCCAAGTGAATTCTGGGAATTTAATATCCCCAAAACACTATCACAGCTCTTGACTTTGCTTAGTACAGTTGAAATAAATGTTTAAAAATCGATAAGCTATTATGTATTGCGAAAACATATCAATGAACAGGAAAGATGATGAGCAATTATAGTTATTAGAAGACACAAATAATTACTCTTTGCCTAACTATTATTTGACATGGTTTAAAATAGGAGACCAAATGAATTCAGTTACATTTTTCGTCCATTTTTCTCATTTTGTATTCAAACTTCATATTATTATTATATATAACTTATAACATACAATTGTATCAAAATGAAACATTCTAGAACAAGGTTAGGTTATATATCAGTGAAAAAGGAAAGAGTATGCTTCACTGACAAAACTATGAAAGTTTAGCTTGATCTATTGTGTTACAGAAAACATTGACAAATTGAAATCTACATAAAGTGTCTTTTATACTGATTAAAGTTTCATATGAGTCCTGTTGAGGAATCCCATATTTTGGGACGAAACAACTGTCCATTGCTAGTAAATGTTCATGAATGGTCAAGATGATGTCGTTTCCTCACTTGAACTACGATAATCCCTTATATTGATAGATTTTATTCACGAGTACTTCAATTTACCCTCAATAGGCAAGAGTAGTTTTCAGAAGAACCAGACACTGTCTACATGTTGACACTACAACCTGAACAGTAAAGCTCAATCCTAGAGGACCATTCACACCATTTATATATATATTTCCGATCCATGATGACGTCAGTGAATATGCACAGCATAAAATAGGCCGATTCGACCCATCCCGCTTGCATGACTGTCACAAACTTATTATTATTAACAATGATGATATGCATTATAGCATCCCAGTGACAATCAACATCAGGAATTATGCAAGACAACCGCCAGTATCACTGAAATTGATCAGCTTTCTAACCGGTTTTGTATATGGACAATTAGAAAAGCTTGCAGAAGTAATGTCAAACAATCTACAATGTTCATAACGAACCTTCGGTCCTATAAGAAGCCTTGAGCTCTATATAACAATATAGCTCATATGATACAGTAACTAGCTACTGAACTCAAAATAAAACTCTTGGTGTTCCAACAATAAAGCATATCCTGTGGAGTACACCCATTTTAGAGGTAGGACAGTTATTCACCAAAGGTATTCAGTCAGTGTTGTGTAATATCAACAACTGAATAAAGTTAAACACCAGCAAGATTCAAAGATAGGATATTCCAACATGAGATCATAGGTTCGACTCCCCGATTCGAGGCCGTCATGAAGACGCCCCCATCTAGCCGTCAAGTGATCCAAGTCTCCTAATAATAGTCTAGATCAAAATGATTCAAGTCAAATAAACATTCTGTTCTACTTGACAAAAATACAATTTCATGAGATATTTTCAACTCAGATGAAAATTTCTAATTCTTACCTTTTCTTATCATGTTACAATCTTTGTTAAACATTTTGAAACAAATGAATCTTTCAATGTTAGACCACCGTCAGAAACCTGAAAGCACTGGACGGCCGTTTCGTCCCGGTAAGGGACTAATCCAGCTCATTCACGACTTCCACAAGATTCGAACCAAGGGCCTTCAATCATGCGTGCGAACGCCTAACATTTAGACCACTGAGTCGGTATCTAACTATATTAATGACTAACTTGATTCAATTCACGGAGTTGCGCAACCTCATACACTGTCTTCGGTAGTTACTGTCAACACTCGAACAGCTTGGACTCCACCAGTCACGATTTCTCACTAGAACTCAGGGAAGATTCCTCATGGAGCTAGTCATTAGTGAGCACAGGTAATTACATTACGGGGTTGTGAAGATTGTTAAGTTACACATTTGAAATCATAAATCGTTCAACGTTAGACCACCATTAGAAACCTGGAAGCACCGGATGACGACCGTTTCGTCCTGATATGGGACTCATCAGCAGTGTGCATTCTGCACCCCGCAGGATTCGAACCCAGGACCTTCGACATTGTGCGCCAATGCCTAACCTCTGGACTACTGAGCCGGCATCTAACGGTGTTTTTATTATTAGTATTATTTTCAATTATCAAGTCAATTTATGCACTTTGTTTATCTTGAAAACTTATCAACTGAATACATAATCTATGAACAAATAAAATCTGCCAATTGCAAAATGATTTCAATTAGAGAGAGGCTAATTCCACATGTGTGAATAATTTCACTCATCCAATACATACAGTCTCCTAATGCTGATCGATTACATAACCATTATCGAATGGATTATAGATTTTGATTACCACTCTGACATAATCTTTTTTTTGGCTAAATGTTTTGATGATGATGTCTCCGAAGCACTGCTCGTGTATGCAGGGATAACCATATATGCAATGCTGTCGTTAGGAAAAGAGTACTAGGTAAGGATAGCAGATCAATAGATGAAGTATTGAAACTTCATTAGTTGAGGTGGTTGGGACATGTGTTACGAATGCCTAACCACCGACTGCCTCGACGACCTATGTTTTGTGGTGTAGGAGTAGGTTGGAAGAAAGTTAGGGGCGGCCAAACCAAAACATGACAGAAATCCATGAAGTCACTGACAAGTGGACTGAGTCATGTTGGTAGATGTAGACTACCTGGTTGGGGTCCACGAGACGAAAGTCACCGATGGTTAGAGATCTTGAACGACATGGCTCAGAATCGTTTGCAATGATGCATCCACTCTTTGTGTTCTCTCTAATTCTAACCTTCAGAATTCCTCATCATCTCTATCTTCCTCTTCCTAAATTTATCTCACTGAATTATACTTTTCGAATCATATCTTTGCTCCCTAATCTTCTCCATTAGTGCTAACACTTCTACTATCGTTATCACTCTTGGATTTGAACTGACAGTTGCGTCTCTGTGTTGATGTGGTATGGCAACTTGAACTGATATACTCACGTACGAAGTTCTGCGTTGTATCTGTCTCTCTCCGTCTGATGATGATTATGTCACAGTAATCATTGTAGTTTGTATTTCATTTTTATGACCTTTCAACATGTAAATAGGTTTATTTGTGGATTTTGTGTC